ATATATAAAGTTTTCAAATCTCTTATTTTTAATTTTAAAATTGATTTTGTCGGAAGTAAAGCTTTGTATGAAAAAGTTTTGTTATATATTTTCAACATATTTTTTCATTTAGAATCATTCATTTCCTAGCTATTTCCACCACCAATAATACACTATATTATTTTATATTACATTTTAAAGATCAGGAACGAAACTATTGATGTTATTAAGTATCCTAGCGGTATCATCATCAAAATCAGTGGATCGTTTTCGTTTACCGAGAAACACTGTAGCGGCGGTTGTAGTGGTCGTAGGTGTGTTAATATTCCGGAGGAGAAGCTGCAATGATTTTATCCTCAGTAATACACATGTCAAAGAAAGTAGGGTACAATTTTACAGCTAGTAATAATTCTAGTCGGAAGACCAGTGTCTCGAGGAATATTACTTACCATGACTAATCGAACAAGATAAACTGCAAACGTGAGGAATGATATGGCCATCAGTGTACCTTCTATCGAAGGGAATCCTAAAGAATGATCTTCGTGATCGTCATGCCCATAATATTCGACACCTCTTATTTTGCGACTTGGTGCCATAGTAGTGGTGAGGCGAGATTCTGTTGATGAGTATGACAAATGAAAATTTTCCGCGTTTCGATAACGTGCCAAGAATGTGCGGGCACATCTTACCTATCTCTGACATCAATGTCTTTTCGATCGTTTTAAGAAAGTAAAGTTTTCCTTCGACCGATGCTGGCTGCGATTGCAAAGTACGGTGAACACTTTTAAGTATGTCTATGGGCAAGTATTGGAATATACCATCATCCCGCTTCGATGTGTCGTTATCGTATTTATCTTGCGACGTTTTTTGTTCGGTATTTGGTGGTGGTTGAGTTGTAAGTACGTTATCCATTGTATCCTTTGTTGATGATATCATATCATTCTTGTTAAGTTGTTCTTGTTTGTTTAATTTATTCTAAAAAAAAATTTTTTAATATTTACGATGTCTAATTGAAAAAAATAAATCATTTTGTTTGTATACATGGTTTATTTATTAATTTCAGTTATTCATCCCATGAATTCTTTCCGTTACCTCAGTCATAGCATCGGTGATTGTTGCAGTGCGAATCGTTGTACCGATATCTGCGAAATTGTCGATAATTTGATCAGGAAACAGATTTATCGGCGTTGTTGATACCGAAACGGAATTTATCTTCTTAATCTCCATCCTTCTATTATGCATCGCATGTGTGGCTTTGATCTGACGGCGATAAGTTTGGCTACCATTTCGTTGATTACCGGGAAAGTTAATGTTGTCCGTGTCGCCTCGTCTGAATTTATAAAACTGATTGTGCTGTACAGAAGGTATCCTTAAAGAGTATACAAGCGATATTAATCTAGAGCGATCCGGAGAACAAACTGATGTAACTAACTTACCTGTAAATCTTTGTCTCGTCCGAGAATTGCGGCATATCCACCCATTCCGCTACGATAACGTTAAAGAAGAGTATTATGGTACACAGAGCGCAAAACGCGCCGCGCACAAACATATTTGAATATGATGTTATTTGTTATTGTACGTTATCCCGCGGGCGAAACGCATCTCATTCTCGTCACTAATCAAGTAACATGTAAACTTGTCCGAGTCTTTACTGTGTATCTGTAATTCAGAAACTGTCCGGTGTCGGGCATGGATATGCTACAGGTGACACGCGCGAAGAGACATCATTATTTCCAGCAGAGATGTTCTGTTAGGATTAAAGAGAACGAAACGGCTGATGATGCTCACGCGTCGGAAACGGTTGTTACAGAAAAGGCCACTTCCTTACGTCTCTTTCTTTTCTATGATTTATCTTACATGATGCTAATTCAATTTGTCATGATTTGTTTTTCTCTCATGACACTAATGGAAACGTGATTTTTCAGGAAAGATTTCAGGGAACGAATTCGGGGAATAAATAATGTAGCAATATATCATTTTCTGGATGAGTAAGGCAAATTCCGTTTATTGGTACCATTTTCGGATAGAAGGCTTAGAGCGACATCATACAAATTAATTTAATATCAAAACTCACGTGGCACTGAAAAGCCATCTTCTCCTCCGTTCAATCTAATGCGTTACGAAGAAAAACGTATTCATACATGAATATGAGTGCATGCTGCCGCTTGTTATGATTATCTTTCATTACTATTACCACAAAAAGAATATATAAATTGAGACTTTCATCTGGCACTAAGTACATTAGCCGACAATCTACATATATTGTTCAAGACGTTTACGGTAACGTTTTTTTTTTAATCTCAGGATATCAGATTGAATAACGCATCATTTAACTGCACGATACATCGCTTTTTTGATTCATATAAAGTATTAAGTTCGTTTAAAGTATGGAATAAAATGTAAATAGAATTTTCGTGCAATTACATGAGAGTTAATAAACTTTTCGTATTGTATATTGCTTACTTATATGTACGATATCCTGCTTTCCAACCACGAATGCGTAAAGGCATAAAATTAGCGCGACGGTAAGTATAAGAGATTACAATTATAACATTTGTTCCTACATACATTGGAGTATCTTCCTTCCTCTTATGCGGGAAGAACATTTAAATGCCTGGCATTAAATGCATCGAGTATTGTAAATGCGTTTTCCGTGAGTATACGAAGTTGATCGCATACGCACGACTTAAGAGATTATATTGGCATAGCGTAAGTATATATATATATATATATATATA